GTATTTATGTTATCTACGACGTTTTGTAGTTGCTGATAGAAATTTTCAGTTTCTGCTGTGGGCTTAGATATGTCTGGGGCATACGTGCTTATCAGGTGTGTTGTGATGTTACGCATTTTTATAGAGATTTTTAATAATCTATCGTTGATGTATTCGATATCTTCGATGTTTTGCGTGTATTTATCGTGCAGCAAAATTCCAACTCCTGAATGCGCTCTTTCTTGTTTAGCTTTCCCGCTGTATATGAGTATAAATTCTCCGTATTTTGATGTTCCTTGGCCTTTTTTCTTTGTTTCGGAGATTCCGCAGATGTCAATATTGTGTTTCTTCATTTCTATTATGATCTCCTGGTCTCTTCCGTTCCACGACGTAATGTTCCAGCACGCGATTCGTGTGATGGGGTCTTTAGGTTTTCGTTTACCAATTCGTTTTTCCATTGTCATAGCGTGTGTCGTCATCTGATATTTCCGTCCGGTATCCGAGGCTGAATCTTCAGTTCTGTGAGCCAATATGGGTTTCTTTACCCCAGGTAGGTGGCTAGCCTTGCCATGGGGACCCTCCTCCTTTATCCGGGCTTGGGACCGGCAGTGTCATCCGATGAGCTACTCAATCCACCCATCAGACAACCCAGGCGGAGTTATCTTCCGATTCCAATTAAAATAATTTATATACATACATATACCTATTATCGCTCGGTCCCAACTATCGCGTAAGTTCAGGATGTTACTGTATATACAGTTATAGAGATTGAAGCCTTGTGAAAGTATATTTGAAAATCGTAAGAACTTTCATATGGGTATTTATATATATCTTATTGTACAGTACGTAAATCTTTCAGATGGATATAGGTAATATACATTGAGGTAAGTGTGGTAACTGCGCTTTCTTCAGTCTATGCCAATATTCCACCACACTAATCGATTGCCTACAATGTACCTTTAGAGAGCAATACTTTGTCAGAATGTGTAGATCTTTTTGCTAATACTTTCGAAAATAGACCCATACCTTGTAGACAAACAATTGCAAATATTGTAAACAGTTTTAAAACCCATTATTGTTTACAAGATTGCACAAAATGTCACAAAAAAGAGATGTCCACGGAAAGATAGCAGGAAATCGAAAAAAGAACTCCAGAACCACTAGGAATGTCGCTGAGGAGTTAGAGGTCTCACATAATATAACTAATAAAGTTTTAAAAAATTATGGCTTTAAGAGTTGCAAATATTCAAAAACTAGAGGAGTTATTTCCCAAAGATCAGTTTTGTAGAATAGAGTTTTGTGAAGCTGAAATGAATAATAATTTTATAAAAAAATATCCTTTTCATCAATGAATCGTCATTTTCAGTAGGCGGTCAACAATCTTTCCAGAAGGCGGTATTGGTCTCAGAAAAATGAACATCTAAGTATTGTACATCAGACATACATTAGAAATTCTGAATTCAGCAAAATATCTTGCTATTTTACAACAACATTATTCCAGCTATTCTGGAATCGCCCAGATGTTGGTTGGCTTTTGCGTTCATAATGCACGTATCGCGAGAAATGATTTAAACACAAGTTTAAATTTCCTGCGAAATCTCCCGATTTGGTTCCCGTGGATTTCTTTTTCGGGAGACATATTAAATTCACCATCTATGGCAAAGACTTCATGAGGGTATATAATCTAGTTGATTTAGAAAATAAAATAAGAAGTGCTTGTGCTATGATTACGCCACAACATCTTGCAACGTAAGACAAGCATTTTATGATAGACTGGATTATTGTCTTGCAAAAGAAGGTGGTATATTTTAACCTTTTATTTAGTACCGTACAATGTATTGTTTGTTTTTCAATGTCTTTAAATGAATTATTTGTGTTTAACTACTTTAGAATAATACTTTTTCGTCTTTCGGTGGTTTTACAATAAAATTTTTCAAAGGTTTTTAACTGCATTGTAATAACTTCAAACTATTTACGTAGATTTACGTAGCAGAATTAACTCCCTCGATCCACACCTAGAAGAGTTTTAATTGATACTAAAAAGTGCTAAAAATTTAAATGTCTGAGCACATAATACTGATTAGTATTCTGCGGTCTGAGGCTTGAGGCCTTGACGACAGCAGTGGGCTCAAAAAAGCGCAGTTGCCACACTTCCCTCAATGTGTATCACCTATGTCCAGCTAAAGATTTATGTATTAGTGTATATAAAATACACCTAATAGCACAGCTGATAGATTTTTGAGAGGATAATGTACCAATATTTTTTTTATACACTTTTACAAGAATTCAGTACAATAGTACAAAAGCATTGATTTTTTTTCCGAAAAAATTTTATAAAAAAATTGCATATTTTTAATGTACTATACAGTACATACAAATTAAAAATGATCAAAATTCATCCACAAGTTCCGGAAAGCAGCATGCGTTTGAAGAATAAATTTCATTTTTAATGATTTGATAATGATTTTATTTCGCCTCGAGACGATTTTGTTGAGACTTTATTTTTAAGCCTTAATGACCGCTCATTGAAGTTAAAGGTTTACTCAAACTATTACACATAAACTATAAACTTCAAAATGGTGCTAATTAGGTTGCTCAATTGATAAAAATAAAGAAGCTGACTTAAATAAAAGAGTGGCTGACTTTGACTCTAATTTGACATTAATCATTAATCTTCTTCTTCTTCTTCTTCTCGTGCCACCCCTAGCGGAGATTGGAAATCATCATGGCCACTGCGACTTTGTTAGCAGCGCGCCTGAAAAGTTCAATCGAACTACACCCGAACCATTCACGTAGATTACGAAGCCACGATATTTTTCTTCTTCCCACACTTCTTTTGCCCTTAATTTTGCCCTGCATGATGTTTCTTAAAAGTTCGTACTTTTCACCTCTCAAAATGTGCCCCAAGTATTCCATCTTTCTAGTTTTTATCTCATTTAGAATTTCGCATCTTTTCTCTAAAGTTTGGAGTACTTGCGTGTTAGTGACGCGGTCCATCCATGATATTCTGAGAATGCGCCTATAGCACCACATCTCGAAAGCTTCGATGTTTTTTATGGTCAACTGTTTTAGTGTCCAAGCCTCAACTCCATATAACAGGGTAGAAAAGACATAACACCGCAGCATTCGTATTCGTAACTTTATATTGATATCACGATTGCAAAAGAGTTTGCGCATTCTATTAAAGACTGATCTAGCGATTTCTATTCTACATCTAATCTCTTTTGTTTGATCATTAATCATTAATCATTAATCATTAATCACTCACATCTAATTTTTGACAAAGCTGTAATTTGAGTAGCATCGTTTGTAAGTGCAGCTTAAAATTGTTAAACGTTATGCCTCTGTCATAAACTGATAGCCAATTTAACCATTCAACTACCCTTGAAGGAGGGAAACTTTTAGTTTTTTTCTTTTTTAAAAGTCTTCTCCCTCCAACTCTGAGGAGTTTAAATTAAATTGATCTGAGACCTGAGACAAATTTGAAATCATTTTAATTTAAGGAAAATTTACCTCATCATCCTAACATCATTAATTTACCTACAACATAAATAATATTCTTTGTTTCTTTGCTAAATCTTTCGTTTAAATATTCAATCATCTTGTCTATCGCAGGATAAAAAACCAATAAATTTGTCTTCTTTTTATCCTTAACCACAAACTCCGTATCAAGATTAAGTTTCTTCTATTCTTAACTCTTTCAAAGCAAGAGATGAACTTTCAACTTCTTCCGCAGCCTACAAATATCGATTTCCTGTTACTGAAGCGTTTTACTCAGTAAAATAAATGACTTTATTTGGATACAAATATAAATTTTATTATAGTTACTTTATTTGGATGTATTTGGAATAAAATTTCTTTTCCTTTCGCTCTTGCTTTTGAATCAGATTAATTTTCAATCGATTCTATTATAGCTTCAAGAAAATTCTCAAAAATCTCCAAAAAAGATGCCCAATATTTTCAGCTCTAGGGTATGTGGATTAAACTAATCACTGTTTTTGGACACCTAAAATTTTTACTCACAGGATATGTTTACAATAATGAAATGAAAATTTATTTTGGGTTAGATTTGCACCATAGCCATTCGTCAAAATTAATTTGATTACTATTATTCCCAGATTTAGCCATACGGCTCACACTCCTCTAAGGGAAAAATTCATCCTAGATTCCTACGGTATCAAAAGGATTGAGCTCTGGTGGCTCTTTTCGTGTTATGGAGTACTAGGTGACTTGGTATGCTGGAGTATATTTCTGACAGCTTCTAGACAATTTACCTTCGTGGCCTTATAGAGATGTTCATTTAGACCCAGCTGTTAAATGTTCTCTAGGAGGTTTTTTGAATAACACCACTAGTAGATAGAATAATTGATACTGTCTGGGTACCTATTCTGGGGTCCATTCTCCATTGTCCTCTGATTTGTATTTCTAGATCTCGGTATAGCCTGTACTTGTCATTTTCAAGCATTCTGTCAAGAACGTATTGATAATAAGGAAGATGGTCAGTTCAAAGAAGTCCCAGTTTGTCAGCTAGTTCTTGGTAGAAAATCTTTCCTACATGACAGTCATGGCGTTCTCTGTAATCAGTAGCGACAAATGCCTGGCAGTCACCGGTAAGATGTTGAATGGTTCCTTGGGCTTGGTATCCATATCGGCATTTGTCATTTTGGACTTGAGGATCTTTAACAATATATTTCTAGTAATTTTTAGTTGGAATAATCTGATGCTGAATGGCAAGTAGGAAACCCTCAGTCTCGAGAAACATTTTTCCTAATGTCAACCAATAGTTCGACTCTGTATGGTCGACATATTCTTGGCTGATCTCATTGAGATGTCGCTTATGCAGAGGTTTACTCATCCATTCACCCATTATTTTTAATTATATAATTATTATTAATTATTTTTTATATTTTTAAAAGACTAATACCTCATTTCAGTGCCACTTCTAAATGGCGTGAGGGCGCACGATAAACACACCTATGAAGACAAATAAAAATTATTTTTAACTAAATTAATGAACTTACTCAATATATTCTGGTATATGTGGATCGCTTGTAATACCAACATGCCCATATCCTAACATTCCAAATAGATGGAAGGTAACGTTTCCTTGAGCTGGAATGTTTCGTTCCGTACGGGCAACATTGTATACCTAAACAAAAAATTGACAAAATTAGCAAAAAGCTAATAAATGATAGAACCTCATAAAATAAACTAATAGTGTGTCTTTATTGTTAAAGTTGTGAACATTCTAAAAAGATTTCGTCGGCAACACAGAAAGTAGGGGAAGGACTCGGAAGATTACGCAGCGTCTAAGATGACGCACCTCTGTATTTTATCAAGTACTTCACTAAATTCAGTTTTTATACCCGTGGCGCCCTCCTTTAGAAACTACTATTACTTTAAAACTTCATCGGTCAGCTTTCGTACTGTTTAGTATCTGTGAGGCAGAGTAACGCGATACACGTTGATTTCTTGTTATTTGTGACACTGCGAATATTAATGGTAAGTTGTTTAAAAATGGTTCCATTGGATTTTCTTCATATTCATGGGAGTAGGTGATATTTATTTTCAGTTAGCGAGGATTTATCTGTTAAATATTTGATGATGGATAATTTTGATAACCATTTTTTGTAGGTTATGCTGAACAGGCTAAGTTGACGCAGACTGCGTCATCTTTGCTGTTATAGTGCGTCATCTTTGCCTTTTCTTTTCATTACCTTAAATAACAATGGAGTATAGAATATTTATTATTTAGTGTCTATTTTGCATTTTGAGGCATCTTTTTCTTTTTTAGAAATGGGAAAATATATACGAAAAACACAGAGAGGATCATTTTCTGCAGCAGCTCTTAATGCAGCATTGAATGCAATTTGTAGAGATGGTCGTAAAATTCGGGAAGTGGCAAGGGCATTTTCAATACCAGAAGCTACATTGAGGAGAAAACTTAAGGTTAAAAATTTATTAAAGGAAGTCAAATCAGAGTCTCTTGGTAGAGCCCCATTGTTTTCGGCACATCATGAAAAGGAGATACTAGATCATGTTCTCAAGCTGGCCAATTTATTTTTTGGTATCACTTGCATAGAGCTGAGAACCATGGCATTTGCTTATGCAGAACGCAATGAAATTAAACACAATTCTAATAAGAATAAACAAATGGCTGGAAAAGACTGGTATCTAGGATTTATAAAACGAAATCCTCAAATTTCCTTGAGAAAGCCAGAAGCTACAAGCATTAATAGAATAACAGCCTTCAATAAAATAGAAGTAGACCGCTTTTTTAAAAATTTGGAAACAGTGCAAGAAAAATATAAATTTCTGCCAGATCGCATTTACAATGTTGATGAAACCGGTATATCTACGGTTCCTAAAGAATCATGTAAAAGACTTGGACCCAAAGGAGTAAAGCAGTTTGGAATCATTTCTTCGTGGGAACGAGGGAAGAATATCACGGTAATAATGGCGTTCAGTGCCTCCGGTAACTACATACCTCCATTATTTATATTTCCCAGGAAGAGGATGAGCCCACAGCTTCAGAAAAATGGACCAAGCGGTGCGATTTACAACTGCACGGATAATGGATGGAGTAATACGTCTATGTTTTTATTATGGCTGAAGCATTTCCAAAAAAAAGTCCTGTCTAGTCCAGATAATCCCGTGCTGTTAGTATTAGATAATCACTCGAGCCATATTTCACTGGATATTTATAATTACTGCAAAGAGAATGGGATTATAATGGTTAGTATTCCACCCCACACATCCCACAAATTACAACCTCTTGATGTGTCATTTTTTTCTGCATTAAAATATGCGTATGGTCGCCATTGCAATTCCTTTCTAAAATCTAATATCAGCAACTCAGAGTTTGAAGATAAAATTACTCCATATGATGTCGCCGAGATTTTTAAGTTAGCATATGATCAGGTGGCAAATATTGATAAGGCCGTTTCTGGTTTCGGAACGTGCGGAATTTTTCCGTTAAACTCTGATAAGTTCACAGAAGATGACTTTTTTCCTGCTGATAATTTAAACAATGATAGCTTGGATAGAGATGTTTCTCCTGAACCTGCACCTCAGGGAACACCTCCACTAATAACAACACCATCTATAAGAGAACCAGAATTACCACGTCCATCAACCAGCCGACAGTCTCCTGAAAGTCGTCACACAACCCCCACAAAACAAAATGAAATAACCAAACGTCCACATATTTCTCTTTCACTTATTTCTCCAGTTCCTTTGCCCAATAAAAAAATTAAAAGAAAATATGGACGACAAAAGCAACATTCTGAAATTCTAACAAGCACCCCTTTAAAAGAATTCTTAGAAGAAAAGAGAATAAAAAAAAAGAAAAACTGGCGAAGTCGGAAGAAGGAAAGAAAAAAGTAACCAGACAAGTATTGGTTAATGATGCAGGATTAAAACTAAATAAAAATAAAGGGAAAGCCAAAGTACAAAAAATAATCAAACAAAAAATAAACAAAAAAATCTTGGAGGATAGCGATACTGAAGAAAGCGATTTTGATGAAGAAGGTCTTTGCAATGACGATGAGTTGGATGACATAATCAACGAGGGAGGTGAAACTGATATCTGCATATTATGTGGAGACTTCGGCAAAAAGACGGAAACATGGTTCAGACGCACAAGTTGTGGAAAATTGGTACATAAAGAATGCAGTGGAGCCAAAAGTCCCGAAAACTACATTTGTGACTTTTGTTAATATGTTAAAAAAGCTTTGTTTACATTTTCTTACTTTCAGTATTAAAAAATAAATTTTCTTTTCATATCACTTGCGCTTTTAATATAGATACCTACATGCGCCATCTTCACCATCACTGTGCGTCATCTTTCCCTCGGTGGAAGGTAAGATGGCGCAAAAGCGTTTTTTAAAAAAGCCGCATAAAAAATACTTCCTTTTATTGAATTTAAAAATAATCCTAGAAATTGGTTATAGAAATGTCCAAATTACAGGCTCGTAGCATTCAAAGTTAGCTTAAATATTTTTTACCCTTAAATAAAATGTATTTTGCTTAGGTGCGTCATCTTCGACGTCTTTCCCCTACACCTCCAGTATTCATTAAGACTTTGAGTAAGTTTTGTACTAATAGGAAATAATAATTTCATTTGTGATGAAAGAGCTTATTGTATTGTAAAAATATGTTAAGGGTGTTCTTAAATCTTAGATAAAAATGTACTAACCTTTTGGCCAAGGGTGTAGGGAATTACGTTGTCGTCTTGAGCGTGCATAATCATGATTGGACAATCAACGTCAAGGATATTTGTTGTAGTTTTAAATAGAAATCCATTTTTTTCAACTGGGTTTAGCACAGTCGCTTTGAACCATGGCATCCATGAAAATATCTAAAATAAAAAATCATATTATCAAAAAAATTTAATATTATTAAATCGATAAATGTAATTTAGTTTAAGAACTGGCTATACGATTTTATAAAACGCCACCCAAGATTATCTCTCCGTGCTGCTGAAGGATGCAGTATTGCACGTGCAATTTCCTTTAACAAACATAATGGGAATGCTTTTTTTGATAATTATGAAAAAATAATCAAAAGATACCCAGAACTTTGTGACTCATCCAGGATTTGGAATATGGATGAAACAAAAACTGAAACTAACCAAGAACCTTCTCGTCTGATTTCACAAAAGGCCAAAAACAAGCAGCAGCTGCTGTAACTGGTGAGAGAGAAGCTTTGGTTACTACAGTTTTGTTTATAAATGCAGCTGGAAATACAATAACTCCTACTCTAGTATTTCCGAGAGTGCACTTCAAGAGCTACATGATAAATGGAGCCCTAAACGGGACCTTGGATTTGGTTCATCAGTCAGGTTGAACGACCACTTTCAATTTCGTTCATGTGATGCAGAGCAATTTATAAAATGTTCAGGTTCCTCTGAAAAGAGAAAATGCTACTAATTTACGACAATCCTGAGAGTCACTTGTCATTTGAGACAATAGAACTAGCAGGAGCTAATGGCGTGCACATTCTAACAGTTCCACCCCATTGTACCCACATGATGCAACCACTGGATGTGGGATTAATGAAATCTTTTAAAACATATTATAATGCTGCAATTGATTCATGGTTGAAGTCTAACCTAGGCCAAAGTTTTGAAAACTATCACGTCGCCTCATGTATTGGAATAGCACATGGCCGTGCCGATACCACAGATCATTATAAATTCTTTCAGAAAAACAGGAATATTTCCAGTTGACAGGCACATTTTCACCAACGATATGTTTGCTCCCAGTTTGGTGAGTGAGAGAGCTAATCCTCCAGACAAAACTCTTCCTGATGAACCTCTAACATGCCAACTAGCTGCAAGTCTACCAACTTTAGAATCTGAAAAACCACCCTCATATCCTCAAATTTCAAGCGAAAACTTTCGGCAACTAACAGACACTCCATCAACATCAAGCTGCTAAAACTGTACGCCTATGCCCTCTTACTTAATACTAGCTCCAACAAACCAAGAGAAAAGGGGAAAAGCAGAATAATAACTGACACCCCAGAAAAGTTTCTTCTGGCAGAAAAACAGATCAATAAAAAAAAACAAAGAAACCAACTCTAATGCTAAATGTACTACTAAAAGAAAACTACTTTTTGAAAATGAGAAGAATAAGAAGACAACTGATGATGAAAATGGCAAAAACTCTGATGATAAAGTATTAGAAGAACCACAGCAAAATTTTGAAAGGAGTGAATTGAAAATTGAAGATATTGTAGGTAAAGAAATAATAAATAAGACTTACTCACAATCAATTTAATTTAACTATCAGACGACCGGTTTCGCTTTCTACAATATGCAAAGCATCCTCAGGTCTCGATACAAAGTTAAACAAATGCTGAAATAATAAAAACCCATATTAGGGTGTTGTCTAATAACGATAAACAAAGTAGATGTTGTAAATTACAATAATTATGCCAATATTACATGTCTGTGCTTTTATTTAAAAGAGTAAGTTGAATAAAAAGTATAAAAGTTTTAAAAAGTTTAAACAGACAAGGTAAGGCCCACAAATTGTTATAAAATAGTCTATTAGATTGTAATAAATTAATAAATGAGCAAATAAATAAAATAAATATTACTTACATGCCGGTACTCTATTAATTGATGGATGGTAGAACATGGTTGAAACTACTATGTATTATTGAATGGAGAACTCAATTATATTATTGCAGTTGTTTGACAGTAAACGGGAAGTTCTTGAGGAGATAGATTTGATCCAATGAAGAAGAGATATGTGTGTGATTGTTTGTTAAATGAAAGTGATGTAATATACCATTGTGTTATTAAAAGTTATTTATACTTATTCGAGAGATATATTTATGAAATGTGTGTTATTTATTGAGTAATTGTTTTATGAAGGTGAGAGTTTTATGACAATGAATAAGTTTAGACATGTAATTTTCATTGTCATAAAACTGTCACCTTCATAAAACAATTACTCAATAAATAACACACATTTCATAAATATATCTCTCGAATAAGTATAAATAACTTTTAATAACACAATGGTATATTACATCACTTTCATTTAACAAACAATCACACACATATCTCTTCTTCATTGGATCAAATCTATCTCCTCAAGAACTTCCCGTTTACTGTCAAACAACTGCAATAATATAATTGAGTTCTCCATTCAACAATACATAGTAGTTTCAACCATGTTCTACCATCCATCAATTAATAGAGTACCGGCATGTAAGTAATGTTTATTTTATTTATTTGCTCATTTATTAATTTATTACAATCTAATAGACTATTTTATAACAATTTGTGGGCCTTACCTTGTCTGTTTAAACTTTTTAAAACTTTTATACTTTTTATTCAACTTACTCATTTAAATAAAACCACAGACATGTAATATTGGCATAATTATTGTAATTTACAACATCTACTTTGTTTATCGTTATTAGACAACACCCTAATATGGGTTTTTATTATTTCAGCATTTGTTTAACTTTGTATCGAGACCTGAGGATGCTTTGCATATTGTAGAAAGCGAAACCGGTCGTCTGATAGTTAAATTAAATTGATTGTGAGTAAGTCTTATTTATTATTTCTTTACCTATTTGAAATGGACTCACACAAGCAACACATTCATGATTTGAAGATATTGTGTTGGTTAAATTTGGGACTGCAAAACAAAAAGATGTGTACTATGTTGGGAGAATCATTGGTAAATGTCATCTAAAGTAAATTATAAATTTTTCTACCTCATCGTGCCAGATATCTCTAGTGCTTCTTTATCAGAAATTGTAGCCCTTTTGCCAACTCCTTCTGAGCAGGGTACAAAGCGACAGAAATCATTATTGTTTTTTTCAGTTTCATTGGAAAACTTCAATATGCATTAGGTGTTTGATTAACTATCATAATATAGTTTTAAATATTGTAATAAATAATTTCTTAAACATTTATATAAGGTTCCCCCCCAAGTGGGGACACCTTCAGACGTTTTTGAAAAAATGGTTTTGATTTTTTTATACAAGTATAGGGTTTAATATTAAAAGCATATATCAATGAAAGTTGGGTGAACAATGTATTTTATGAATATTTTCTTTCTTTATTTGGTGAGGTATTTAGAGTGATATGACAGTTCAAATTTTTATGTCTGAAGGAGCCCCACTCTCCCCTACCTATTGCATATTGTAAATTTTAACAGGTTCTTATACTGAAAAATCGTTGTTTTGGTTTTAAATAAAGTGTTTGGTCGTATGGGTCATTGTTTAAATAACGATTTAATGCTTAGTTATGCCCGTCAATATAGCCTTTTGATAAAAACTGTGATGAAACATCCATACTATAATAGTGGAAGCCATTAAATTAAAGATAAAGAAGAAAGAATTGTTAGAATTTGCTGGCTTGCAGTTAAAAAGCAAATGGGCCTCGAATCCGCAACGTAGAAGAATTTATTAGAGAATTAAGAGTAGATACTGTAAATTGATCCATTCAAAATCATTTACAGTGTGATCAGATGTCATGACAGATGAACTAAAAGGAAGAATTTGTGATTTATTACATCGTTGCTGATACATTCGTAAGATGCTTTATACAGATTTACTTCATGACAACGTAAGACTCCAAATTGGGATTGCTGGCCCTGAGATGTAGTATTCTAATTAGCAACAATATGTAGACTGTGAAGATTTACGTACCTTTCCTAACTGACTTGCTGGAATTTCCTCCCTCATCGTAGTAAATGGAGATTCTAATATTAGTCCGGATGGTACGATACTTTCTTCCTTGAGCCTTTTGACTGTGTGAGTGCTTAAAGCTGTTCCTAGTGAATGGCCCCATACGTAAATATCGTTATCTGTTAGAGATCGGATCCATTTAAAAACCTGGCTGAGTCACCAACAATTCCTAGTTCTGTTGGTGGTATATCTGGACCTGAATCGCCGTAACCTACGAAATTTGTTAAATTATCATTACTTGTCTATGACCAGGGTCAAGATGAATAAACGCATAAAAGTTTTTTTATTATATCTTCATTACTATTATAAAATATTCAATTAATAGAATTTTAAGAGGATTTAAAGCACAACAGTACTGAACGTGATCTTAGAGGCCATTATGAAAAAAATTTGAACACAGTTGAACATCAAATTATATGCTAATTACTTAAAAATTGTTTGTACAAACTATTGCTAACTGCTTACCTCTGTGGTCCAGTGAAATGAGCAAAAAGTGCTTTCGTAACACTTCATAGGTTTCTTTCGGCTTTATTCTGTTACAACCAACACCATGTAGATAAATTACAATTGGATAATCTGTATTTCTAATGATTTCAGTTGCTGTTTTGTCATCATGGGCAGCGATTTTTGTGGATTGTATCTGTTTTTCAGGTAACAGAAGCCAAGCCCCGATGCTTACTAGAGAGCCGTCTAACAGATCTTTGGTGGTTATATAGAAATTTACTACCCCGTTCATGCCATATTTTTGAGGATTGTTGAATTCGGGATTCTTCGGATCTTGAACTAAAAAATATACATAGTAGTATAAAAAATATATATTGTAGATTGTAAATTTAGTCTGTAAAAGAAAATCAGATAGTAAAATAAGTCCATATACTGAAACTCTGCTGAATCAAAGGAGACAAATAAGAAGCGATAAGAATGCAGACAGCCACACTCTAAGAGAAATGAATAAAACTGTTTCGAATGCAATCAGGAGAAAGTTTTACGAGGAATTATATGAAAGTAGACGAGAAGCCAGGTGTTTGATCGCACAACCAAAAAGAAGATTATCTATTTCGAAAGCACCTGACGATAATTAAAACCGCATAATAAGAAACCAGATTGGGATGAAATTGTAACAAAAGCTATCGTAAATGGAGGAGATATGCTATAAAATCAATTAAGAAAACTGTTTAATCTATGTTTGCAGTAAAGAGGGGTGCCCAAAGAATGGAACATTGCTACAACCATCTTTTTGCATAAAAAAGGAGATAAAACCGACCTAGAAAATTATAGACCTATTAACCTATTGAACCACATATACAAGCTCTTCACTAGGTTAGTGACATCAAGATTGGAGATAAATCACCTCCATACAATAAAGACACTCATTGAAAAATCTATAAAATACAACAAACCTCTTGTCCTCACTTTCATAGATTTTCATAAAGCGTTCGACACGATCGAAATAGACAGCCTTATAGAAGCAATGAATGGCAGCAGGATTGACCATATGTATAGTGAACTTTACTATTATTATTTACAATATTTACAAAAATGCTACTATAAGGAGATACATTATCACCGAAATTATTTATAACGGCATTAGAGTATGCCTTTAAGATGGTCAATTGGAGCCACTGGGGAGTAACAATAGACGGCCAAAAACCATCTCCGTTTCGCAATTGACATTGTCCTTATCACAGATACGCCTTCCAATAAGATTTTCTGCCACCACTTCACATAACGCTGGTACTCATGAAACATTTCGTAAAGCTATAAACAAAAATGGTAAAGGATTTCAGTACCTTAAAACTAAATTTCTACGATTAAGTGACTCGAAGTTGATAAAATAATTTTTGTTGTTCCCTGCAAATATGAGAGCTGATGACAGATGTAGTTGTTAATTTGATGTTAAATAGAGCAGAAAAAGATCTCAACAATATTGGCAATATAATTTTAAAGTCGTCTAATTTAAAATGCATAATGTATGTCTGAATTGTCAATATAAGTGAATCAGATAAAATTAAATTATTAGAAGAATTTTTCACTATGTAACAAAAAACAAAATTTGTTTAATTTACTGTTTGTATTTTGAGACCGATTTCCGAAGTGGAAATTGAAACGTCAATGTATTTGTATCTTTAATTGTGGCTTATTCCCAGTTAAATAGTACATAAGTAGTAGTTATAATTTAAGATTATATGAAAAGTGTATGTGCTCTTTTTGTATCCATAGTAAATTTTGCGTGAAGACCAACAAAAATAACGTTATTGTGCATGAAAATAAAAACGAGGAAAAACCAAAAAAAAAAACGAACTAATAAACAACAAATTAGGAATTAAGTAAATTAAGGTCTCTAAAAAATGTGTGAAATTGGCAAGAAATGCTTATACAATAATATGGTTTTAAAAAACAACTAATAATTTTACTAGAAGAATCCTTTATTCATATAATAAAAGTCCACTTGTTTGATATCATTTACAACGTTTTTAACATATAGCCATGGTTTATCATTTTTGTTTTGAAAGGTTATAAATTAAAATGTCTTTCATATATATTTTTTTGGGAAACAATTAATAGATTATAGTTTATTGTTTTTTTATTTATTTCATCATAAAAGTTTATGATCTAATATCACGTGGCAGGTGTTTTTTTGTTACTATGATGTATAGTTAATAAATTTTTCTTGATTGAAGTGCAAAGTGTATTAATTATATTATAATATTGAGATAATTATTATCGTACTTATTGTTTATATACTTACAATTAAAGAATATGAAGAACCTTTGTAGTGATATCGTATTCATAAATACAAGTGGGAATATTACCCATATTGCCAAAAATATGAGAAGTAGAATGATAAATCTGCAACAAAAATACACATTGATGTTAGAGTAATTATATTTTTCCTATTGCTAATAAATAATGTCCGTAATGTTATGAATACTAGAGTAGAGAGGAAAAGTTTAGAATTAATTTAATCGGTTGCAGGATACTTGCCAATATACTAGCATTTAAATATAATACCTTAGATATTATAACGCTTTAATTGACCAAATATATCCCTCTAGTACTGTTAGAGTATAGTTTCTTAGTGTTTAACCATGGCTGGAATTGGAAAACAGCCATTTATAAACGTTTGAAATAACAAAACTATCGAAAATACCAATAGGAAGAAAACTCAAGCAAATACACGATATTTTAAAACAGACAATTCGAAGAGAAGTGTATTCATTTTATTTTCAAAACAAGATAAGATCAGGGATGCACTCTTGCCTATGAGAGTCTTGGTTTATCTCCTAATACAATACAGGGCAAACCATTGTCCATATTCCTTCCAATATCCTGGATTGATTTACTAATAACGACCCTAGCTTGAAAATGGGAATGATTTTTTTTACCGAATGGGAACTATGAATGGTCCTACCCGACACGGAAAAAAATATTATGTAAAAAACAATCCAACACAGCCTCGGAATTTATACGGAAAAGGGGATATATGAGTAAGGCGAAGGAAAAGGACTATGAGACCAGGAATGTGGAATATACAAGGAATCACAACGAAACAAATTGAAATCGAAAGACCAGAGGAAGTTACAAGGAAATATAGGGGAAAGTAGCCGAAATTGTACAGGCTCCAATATTGTACCACCGCTGTATTTATCATTTCTGAGGAAGCCAGAGCGCTCTTATGTCGTTTAGTGGAACTAATTACTACTAGAGTTAATTGCTGAAGTTTTACAACGTTCATATTTGTCGATTTTGTTTTATCGATTTTTATGTATTTTATGGTGTTTCAGTATAGTTTTCTAGTTCTATATGTAATGTTACAGTATCTGTAAAGGTATGTGCTAACCATTTTGATTCATAGATACAAGAAAAGCATGTACTTAAGTGTATACAACTGAGTTGTTTTCCTTCGCGGGACCATTTTTAGGTTACAAATCGTAGTTTATTTAAATAAAGTGCAAGTTCGCCGAAGAACACACACCGTTCTTGTGCGTTTTAGATGCCCAAAGGAAAATATAAGACTTGGAATGTGGATGACATGAGCCGGGCTCTTCAAACATTTCGTAATGGAGACATGGGATTACATGAATGCTGCAGGCAGTATGAGTCCTATAAGCCTACCTTGCTTCATCACCTTAAGGGAACCAATGTTAAGGCAAATGAAGAAACGAAGACTTTTGGCCGAGGCAGTGTGTTACCAACAGCAGTGGAGAAGTGGAACTAGTTTATCACATTTTAAAACTGGAGACGTTGATGTTTGGCCTCACGATCAATGATATTCGACGGCTTGCATTTCAAATCGTCGAGAGAAATCAAATACCACATAATTTTAATAAAGAATCCAAATGGCTGGAAAGAAGTGGTTTTATGCTTTCAAAGCTCGTCATAAGGACATAATCTCACTAAGAGAACCTCAAGCAACGTCCATGATGCGCGCAAAATCATTCAATAAAAGAATGTTTACGCCTTTTTCGACCCTGGAAAAAATTATTGATGAGAATAATATTGACGCAACTCGCATATTTAACGTTGACGAAACGGGTGTCACCAATGTGCAGAACAAATGCCAAAAGGTTCTGGCACAAAAAGCTAAAAGGAAAATTGGGTCAGTGTCCAGTGGAGAATTCATTTGGTCCATCCATTGGATCCAATGAGTTGGGGGTTGGTGCTTCACCAAGGAGTATGGTTGAAATATCAGAATCAGACTACATGACTAGTGATCTCTTTGTAAAATGATTCCAGCATTTTATTGATTCTGTAAACCCAACAGTAGAAAAAAAGTTCTTCTGGTAATGGATGGGCATACAACGCACTCCTACTACTACTACTAAGGATTTCCACAGTTTTCACTGTCTTCCTTCACTCAACCGTTTTCTCCAATTTTCCCTGTCATTCCAGTCTCCATCTCGCAGGGTTCTTTTCTCCATAGCCTCGTCGATTTCGTCTCTGAATGACCTTCGGGGTCTTCCTCTCTTTCTTCTTCCGATCGGGCTCCATTCTGTGATTTTGTTTATCCAGCGTCCTCTGTCCGCTCTTCTGACGTGGCCGTACCAGGATAGTCTCTTCTCCTCTATATAGTCGATTATGTCTGATTGCACTCCCATTCTCCGCTTAATCTCTGCGTTTTCAATTCTGTCTCTTTTTGTAAGTCTACAGCTTCTCCTCAGGAACTCCATTTCTACTGCTCTTATTCTACCTCTATTTCTCTTGTTTATTGTCCAGTTTTCGGACCCATATGTCAGGATACTTCTTGTCAGGGTATTATATATTCTCTTTTTTGTCTTTATCGTAATGTTCTTATCCCACAGCACTGAATTTAGTTGTCTTATACAGTTTCTTGTTTGTCTTAGTCTGTTGTTTATATCTTCTTCTGTTGTTCCCTGGTTCGATATTATGGTTCCTAAATACTTGAATTTATCTGTTCCATTTACTTGTCTTCCCTCGTCTATCTCTAGGTTTCTCATATCCTTGTTTTCTGTTGTTAGGTATTCGGTTTTCTCTAAGTTTATTTCCATTCCGTTGTTTTTATATTCTTCTTCTAGTTTTCTGAGCATAAAGCTGAGATCTTCTTCATCTTGTGCGATGACTACTTGATCGTCGGCAAAACTTAAGGTGTATAGGTATTCGTCTCTTACTGGTATGCCCATTCCTTCGCACTTTCTCCTCCATGGTTTGAGTGTCTTTTCCAAGAATATTTTAAACAGAGTAGGGGACGTAGCACAGCCTTGTAGAAGTCCTTTTGTCGTCTTAAATGGATTGTAGGCTTTATTTCCACATTTAATAGCTACTTTGTTTTCTTTGTACAGTGCTTTAACTGCTTTTATTAGTGTTTGTCGGATTCCGAGATCATTCATTGCTTCCCATAATTTGACTCTAGGTATTGAGTCGTATGCTTTCTTTACATCAACAAACGCCAGATGGACCGGTCTACCTTTTGCCATTTTCTTCTCTATCAGTTGTTTTAATGTGTACGTATGATCTAGGCATGATTTTCCTACTGTGAACCCTGCTTGGTCTTCTCCAATTTTTCCTATTATTTCAGTTTCTAGTTTTCCTTGATAATTTTCCCGTCAAGTCTACCTACCGACGATATTATACTAATTCCTCTGTAGTTTTCACATTTTTTCCTGTTTCCTTTCTTATGTATGGATGTGATGTATGCTTGTGTCCATTCCGCAGGTATTTCCTCTCCATTTAGTGCTCTTTCGAACATTCTGTGTAGCATGCGGACCCATTCTGGGTCCTTTGGCTTCTTCAATATCTTGATTGCTCTCTTGACTTCTGTCAGACTTATTTCTATCTGGTTGTATGTCCCATTTCCTGCATGTTCTGTATTCTTTTCCTGAAATTGGGGACGGTTTTCTGTAACTAGTTCTACGTAGTATTCTTGCCACTCGTTTTCACTAATTTTGCCGATCTGGGTTTTCTTTGTCTTATTTCGTTGGAGTGCTTTTAATATTCGCCATGATTCTGAATTTCTCGTTCCTCCGATATGTCGTTCTATCTCTGTGCATGCTTGTTCCCATCGTTCGTTCTTTTCATTTGTTACTCTCTTATTTACCTCTCTGTTTTTCGCTCTATATAGGTCTAAGTCTTTCTGTTTTTTGGAGTTTAGGTATTTTATGTGTAGTTTTTTCTTTTCTTTTATACATTTCAATGTGTCTTCCCTTAATTTGATATTCTGATGTGTGTTCCTTTGGTCGTCTTCTCCAAGAGCTTTTAAGGCCGCTGAAATCAGGCAGGTTTTTATGTGTTCATGCATTTCATCTAACATGTCATATCTGAATTCTTCTAGTTTTTGGTCTAGTCTTCTTTTTTATAAATCTTTTATTGATTATATCTGTAATAGATGTAATTTGAGCCTCTTTTCGTTTATTGTCGTTCCCGTTGTAACAATCGATGTATGTTTTTGTTTTGTCCAGATATAGGGGAATTTCATCCATGCCACCAGAAGTTTGTGATCTGTTCCACACTCTGCCCCTTGATGGAGCTTTTGTGGTTCATGATAATGTAGTCAATAATGGATCTTAGTTTTCTTGTCTCTTGAGTCCATGTGTACTTATGTATATTTTTGTGTTTGTAGAATCCGTTCATAATTTTCAAATCATTTACTTCACATAGTTCTATCAATCTTTCTCCGTTGTCGTTAATTGTGTCTTCTCCAAATGGACCAACTGTTCTGCCATTGTCTTTTCTTCCGACTCTTCCATTTAGATCCCCCACTATTATTATTTCTTGTTTAGGTTTTCTCTTATCCATTTGTTCCTGAAGTTGTTCGATAAATCGTTCTTTCTCATTGGCTGAACTGTTTTCCGTTGGACCGTATGTTGCTAGTATTATAATTTCTCTGCCATACAATGCACTCCAAGGATCTTAAAGTAATTTTACGTGCTAGAGAGCAGAAATAATCCTACAATTGCCTGGGCATACGACCCATCGCGTGCAGCATTTGAATAGATCATGCTTTAAGCCTTTGAAGGCTACTACACTAAAGCAGTTAAAAAATGGCTTCGTTCTAATCCCGGATTATATGTTATACAACTTCACGTAGCTGGTTTGATTTCTGAAGCTTACGGTCCAGAAACCATCAAAAATTTTGGCACCAAAAGGTCAAAGGCAAGTAGGATCCGTAATATCTTGGTAAAGAGGAAAAAAATGCTCGAATACGTATGAATCCACAATTAATGAGAGGAAGTCCAATTGGAGCAATCTACAGGTATTCAAAAAGAACTGAAGAGTTATTTTTCGACTTAATAAAACATTTTTGTCAGCAAAGGCCTCGAAAGCAGATCCAGAGCTTCTCATATTGGATAACCATGGGAGTCACATTTTTTTGCAGATTTATATTTACTGCA